TGTAAAGTAACTTATAGTTCTCGCTGGAATCGATGTTATGTTTATATTACGGTCCTTCCTTGAATAAGAAAGCTCCCTTCAAGAAAAATTGAAACTGGATCGCTTTGGGGTTATATAGTGGAACCCTTTTGTGACTAGCTCTCGTACAATTGTCTCGTTGTATGGGAATTTCCCTAATAATGAAGCTTGTATGTTTTGGACATGTAAAGGATTAAGACAGGAATGCTCACTTCGCCCAACCTTATTTAATCTCTATTAGGGGTCAGGGCTAAGGTGGGGGGAAAGTAGCGGGAAGAAGAAAGATATTTTTTATTGGGGCATTTGTTTTTAAGTTGGCTGGGTTTCAGCCAAGGCTGTTCTACCAACCCAACCCACTATATATTTACAAATATCCATGCCCAAACCCGGATTCGAACCAGGGACCCTCATGATGGCAATAATGGGAAAGTATTGGAAAAGGAAAGGAATGAAGCATTAAGGAAAAAGGGGGTGGTGGTGATGAGACAGATGTGGAGAACTGATGAGAGGGGGGGGGTGGAAGGAATGGGAGGAAGAAGTACAAAGAATATATCATAAATTGGTATTGGGGTTAAATGGAAGGACGCCAAATTGTATATTAGAGAAGGAAACAAATATGAAAAAGAAAAGGATAGTAACGGAGCGCAGGGAGGTAAGATTCGAGGAAAGGGGGAATAGAGAAAGTGAATTAGTAAAAGAATGCTTCACAGCAAGAATGGACGCACAAGGAATGTGGGAAGAGAAAAGGAGGAAAATATTAAGAAAGAAATGGATACGGACGGGCTGAAATTGGAAAGAGGAAATGAGTAGGAGAAAAGATGGAAAATGAGCTAACCAAAAGGCATCTGGATGCCCGACTACAACAACAGGTGTAGATAATAAGCGCACGCGTAAGTAGTAGCTAACAAGGGGGTAGTTTCCAAAATTTTGTGGAAAGGAAGCAAAAAATAACGAGATTCAGAGGCGGAAATGACGAGAGAGAGAAAGAGACAAGAAACAAAATGTAGAATATGCGGAGAGGAAGAAGCGGTCATAGAATACATGTTATGGAACTATACGGGGGTGGATATGAAAGGGGGAAGGAATGAGGTGCTGGATGAGAGTTCTGGTTATAATTTATATTGTAAACAGTTTTGCCAACTTGGCATCTAATAAAGATTGATTGTTTGAAATATGGTCCTACTCCAATTCAGACCCATGAACGATTTACATTTCTTGAGCGTATATTAAACTTTGCCCGGAAGATTTTATATCCTCCAGGAAGCGTTGTTGGCACGATAGGCACTTGGAAACGAGTAACGCTTAATAGTTTCACTTACATTCAGCACGCTAAAAATACGAATTCGAAATATGTAAAACTGCAAAGCAACCTACTTTTACATAATCTATTGCAGGCGCAATTTGAATTAGCATCATAAATTGAGTTTTCAAAAATGAGTGCCTCCTTTTTTTAAAACTGTAATTATTTCAAATGATTCAATGAACTAAAATTCGTATATAAGGCACTATGCGTGCAAATGGAACTATTAAAAAAGGTTATCAATTTTGGATAATTTTTTGTATTGGAAGACTGGGTCATTTTCATTTATGCTCTATTTTAGTTCGCAAAATCAAAATTAAGGTAGAAGGTGGAAATTGTAACTATGTAGAAAGAACACAAGAAAGTAAAATAGTGCAAATGTGAAATAAAAACTGTTGTTTCAAATATAAAAAATGGTGTGGTAACGAAGCACTCAGTTTTCATACCGGAATTTATGAACACACCGTACATAGATGACCGCTACCAGCTTTATTGAAGACATGGTATCTAGAGGCGCTTCGTTACGAAAGGTGTTGTTCGAGAACTATTGATTTCTTTTAGGAGTTGGAAAGTTTTAATTTTTAGCGCCGTTTTAGCCGTCGATAAGGACACAAGTTGCCGTAAATATTTGATCTGTTTTATAATTGTCCCCTTAGAGATATGTAAATTATTGCTGTAGCATCCGAGAGCCCTCGGAATTGAGAAGCAAGGGAATAATTTAAAACGAGCATTAAGGCTGCAATGCAATTCACTATTGCAGATCATCTGTTGTGATTGACTCGAAATTCTAGCTAACAATACGTTACCGAATTTGAAAATTTTAATCTAGTAAATTAAGTAAGTGTAATTAACAGTAGTTAATGAAATGAATTGCAGTAAATCGGTACCTAACCAGTTAAGGTGGTTTCATTAGAAACGCACTTAATTGAGCTAAAGACATTTTTGTTTATCGCAGGCCGCACAATTAAACAGAGAAGTTTTAATTTTTGGATATAAACAATCGAATGCGCTGTATCGGCTGGAAAAAACCGCCGATCCGTCTTGAAATAGCCGAATTTTATAAAAGGTAAAGCTGTAGTTTGAGGGGATCTTTTTGCCTTTGGTGTTTTAGCCGAATCGTAAGATCACTTTCTGGTAATTTTCTTCCTAAGAATACGTGTATCAAATTTGTTTCCAATCGGTTCAGGCGTTTAGGAAATGAGAGTATAGACAGGCCGACATCATCGAGATTTTGTTTGATTCGAATTTCTGGTGCTTTAAAACGTGTATTTCCGTCAAAAAAGTAGGGGGTGCGGGTGGTAAAAATAAAGGTTTCATCTTTTGCTAAGTTTCTCCGTTTTGTAGAATTTGCAATAAACAATGGTTGGCATAACGGGCTGCTGTGAACTCTAATTTGAGATGTATCAAGAAATATTAAATTATATTTCAAATTTTTCTCGGACTTGACTTGCTTCAGGCTCAAAGCTGGTCTTCTTGGGCGAAAGCTTTCAAATACTACGTAAACCAAACGAAACACTAACCTCGTTTGCGAAGCAATTTTTTGTACATAGCTTTTGTAATGTAGCTTTCATTATTACCGAAGTGGTTGAAGCCTAAAACCAACAGGATGGTCCACTTTTGAAGCTGCGGTGAAAATAAAACCGCAGGTAAGCGTTTAACGCGGCGCAATTATAATACACATAAACGTTTTATTTTACGAGGCACAAGTTTCTCCATTTATCATTTAAATTTTAGGCCAAAAGTTTACTATTAAGCAATTATAAACTTTACAGGCGTTTAACTTCCTAATTAGTCGTAAATATACACACCGAGCTGTGTGCGGTTTAATCTAGAATTTAAATGTTAATTTATTTTTAACGCCTAAAGTTCATACCGTGTAGTAGACAACTTCCGAAAAAAAAGACATAAATTTTTATTGGTGGTCGTGACTTAGGCATGGTGTCGTTATATTGTTGATTGAAACTTAATTTAAAAGCAATAAATTGTTAATCGGTTTGTTACATTTCCATAATGGATTTCTCGTTTGCAGTCGTGCAGGGGAAAAATTAAGTCTTTAATTGTCGGTAATAAACTGATTTTGTCTCTGTCAGAGAAATTGCCAAAAATACATGATATGGATTGACATTTTCATTTCACTTAAAGTGCCATACATTTCATAGAGAATAGATTCCATTTATCAAACCGTTACAACATGTAAATATTAAAACTGGAAAGTACGTTATACTTTGTTCATCCATTTTGGGTCACTTTTTTACTGAATATAATTTTGAAGCAATTGCGCTAAAATACTTAGTCTAAAATTCTTTCAATCTTCGTGACATGATACAAATATCAACAATAAACGGTGATTTTTTGGCTCCAGACATAACAAGTTGAAAGCTATCAGTAATTTCATGGATCTTGGTTAATTCTGAGGTTAAGAAATGCGCACCTGAAAAACTCCTCCGTCATGTTTCCGCAAATTGCAAAGAAAATTAAACCGCATCTTCACTTCAAGAGTCGTCCAACCCCACGTATTTCTCCCATTTTCCTCGACTGTAAAGTGTATGATAAAGAGGGCCACATCTACGCTGCACGCTTCGTTTGTGTGGAGGTTTCCGCCACAATGTATTACCTTTAAATATTTTACGATCCTCATATTAATGCAAAGAAAATGTAGGTATAATAAAACCTTCATTTTTATATGCAAGAGAAACAGTATTTATAACGCATTGCAGACGGCAACGTTCCAAATCAGTTTTTTATGGTCGACCGAAACGCGGGCGAAAGGTTCGCGACGACAATGGCAGAATGAATTAGTGGATGAAATAGCAAGACGGCGTAATCCAATTTACCTAAACACTAATTAGATCGTGATGCTAATACGAAAATCTAATTCCGAAACGAAACATCGCGCTACCAAAAACACCTTCGAGTTAAATATTCGGCCATTATATCGGTGAGAACCTTTTTTTCCTCCCCTTTTCTTTTATTCAGCCAGAAATTAAATCTTAAAACAAGGTGAATAAAAGTTTCACGAAGTTCTTTGGTAATTTAGAATTGCCGTCGTTTGTTTTAATTAACTAAATTTCGTTGATATTAATTAGGTAATTAAATCCAAGAAGAATTTAGAATTGGAAATTGCCAACCCTTCCTCCTAGCAAGCAATTTATTGCCCGACTTTAATTACTTTGTTCTTTTCGGTACAGGTGGCTGGGGGTGAACAATTTATTCTGGCTGTTATTGTAATTATACCCCCTGTATTTAATTTCTTTATTTATTTGGAATGGGGTTTCAGTGAGAAAACTGTTAGTATACAATTCAGAATTATTGATGAGCCGCTGAATTCATTGAAAGCACATACATCTCAGGATTTCCAGCTATCATTTAGGACAATCCATGTTTTGACAAATACAATGAAATTTAGAGAAAACAGAAAGTGTTTGATCGAAAACACTTCAATTTACATATTAAGGAGCGACCCAGCTCGTTCATTTTGAACTGTCTGTATACATGATAACTCGCGAACGGCTTAGAATTTTCCAATTGTGTTCTCAGTAACAGGTGGACAATAGTCAAGGGACTAGCTGATTAAATTTGGTCAATATTCGTCCACCGAAAGTGGCCTTGTCGCTAATTGTCTATATTGGTGCAGTTTATTATCTATTTTTTTTGTTTTTTTTTTTTTTGTTTGATGAGGGCATTAACTGCTATGGTCATATTACCCCAATTAGGGCGCCCCCAAATCTCTCACTACACTTTAGATCTGTCTGTATATACCTATTTCTCTTAGAAAACTTAGGGTACTTTTTGCATTTATCGTTGCACAGAAGTTTTCGACATATTCTCGATTTAAACTATGCAGCGCCCTTTCGTTGTTATACATGGGGCATTCCTGAATTATGTGCCGAATGGTTACAGCAGTCCCACATCGTTCGCACTGTCGGGCAATCTCACCCTTAAGAATGTGTTGGTGCGTTATCTGCGCATGCCCTATTCGCAGTCGGTGCATTTTTACATTTTCTTCCCTAGTGGCCTGGTCTAACACATAGAGTTTCCGTACATCTGGTTTTATTCGGGTCAGGTGAGTGTTACTTTCAGCCCATTTTTGTTGCCACATTAACCGGTTTTTCATTTTCAGGTATTCTCCTAAGTCCAACGGATGTATAAGGTTAACATCAATGTGATTACTTAACGCAGCCTGGCATGCAGCATGGTCTGCTTGATCGTTTCCAGGTATACCAATATGACTTGGTACCCATATAATAATAATTATAGCCTCTTTTCCATTTAAGAACTTGAGAATGGACTGGCATCTTTTCGTCATCGCACCAACAGGATATATTTCAGAGATCCCATTCACTGCTTCCATACAATCTGTGACGATGATAACATTTTGTCTATCGCCGATGGAGCAATATAACAACGCCTGCCACAGCGCATATTGTTCGGCAAAGCGAATTGAGGACCACGAACATAAACTCCATTCATAGGACTCTTCTCCAATCACCATCGCACTTCCAACACCACTCTCCGTTCTAGACCCGTCAGTATAGATGATTTCATACGAAGGATATTCATTACATATATCTTGGAATTTCTGTATATAAGTGTTACTGTTTGTAGTTGACTTTTTGTATTTCGCAAGTTCCGTTCTTATTTCGACTGCAGGAGTCATCCACGGTGCAAACTCTTGTGTAGTGTTTTCCAGAATTTCCGGAAGAGCGATACCTTGCAATTGAATATCCTCATAAAACCTCACACTTGCTGGTCTAGTAATAGTAGGTCGCATTCTATAAGCATTTTTATCCACACTGAAAATTATGCTATTAGGGTAACGGGGTAATGACAGTAGTTTAGCCATGTAACAGTAAGTTAACTGTTTTCTTCTCGTATCAAGTGGTGAAATTCCAGATTCGCAATGTAAGCTGGCTACCGGACTCGTAGGAAATGCTCCTATACAATACCTTATAGCAGCATGCTGCACAGGATCTAATATTGTCAGTAACGTTTTACGTGCCGACGAATAGGCAATGCTACCATAATCCATTTGGGATCTTATGAGCGCTTGATAAATTCGAATAAGGCAGTTAGCATCTGCACCCCACTTGGTATGCGCTAATACTTTAAGTATGTTGAGACTGTTGACGCATTTAGTCTTCAAGTGCTCTAAATGAGTTCTCCAAGTAAGGGATCTATCAAACGTGAGACCAAGGAACTTAGCAGCTTCCGAGCATCTGATGTTATGGTTCGTCAGATATAGCATAGGATCATAGTGTGGCCTTCTTAACCTGCAAAAATGGACGCATTGTGTTTTTTCGTGTGAAAAACTTAAACCTATATTTTCGGCATTCCCAACAATTTGATTGATTACAGGTTGTAGTTTGCGAGTTATTTCTCCTACCGTTTTCCCTGATGTGAAGATGGCTATGTCGTCAACGTACATGCATTTAGAAATGTTTTCTGGTGTATTAGAGCATATGTCATTTATTGCTATAGCAAATAGAGTACAGCTAAGAGTCGATCCCTGAGGAACTCCATTCTCCAAAAGCTTATCATCGGAGAACTTATCACCAACTCTTACACGGAAACGCCTGTTTGTTAGGAAGGACTTCACTAACAATGGTAAGTTACCTCTCAAGTTATATTGGTACATTTTTTCTATTATGCCATACCTCCATGTCATATCATACGCGCCCTTCACATCAAAGAAAACAGCCACCAGATGTTCTCTTTTGCGGAATGCCTCTTGTATGCAGTGCTCTAAAATAATCAGATGGTCGGTGGTAGATCGGTGTTTCCTGAAACCAGCCTGATATGGCACTAGGAAGTTGTTTTTCTCCAAATACCACTGTAATCGATTATTTAGCATCCTCTCCATGATTTTACCCATGCAACACGTCAGACTGATTGGTCGATAACTAGTTGCAGACAATGGATTTTTTTTGGGTTTTAAGATTGGTATCACCACTGCTTCTTTCCATTCATCTGGGTAAGTACCCTCTGCCCATAATTTGTTATACAGATACAGTAACGATTCTTTCATTTCAGGCGTCAGATTCTTCAGCATCTCGTTTGCTATCTGGTCAGGTCCAGGTGCTGTGTTCCTGGCCTTTTGTAAAGCAAACTCCATCTCCAGCATTGTAAAAGGTAGGTTGTATACAAGATTATCGGATGTATAGAATGGTAGTTCAACCTCTCTTTGATTTTTTGTTTCAGAAAAGGTGGGGGGATAGTTTCCGGAGCTACTAACTACTGCAAACTGATTGGCCAAAGCGTTCGCGATTTCTTCTGGTTTTTCCAAGACTAGGTCTTGTGTTTGTAATGAATGTATACCTTGACTTTTATATTTGCCACATATGGATCTTATTTTTTTCCAGGTATCGCCCACATCAGCATTTGCATTGATAGTTGACGTATATTTAATCCAACTTTGACGCTTACTCTCAAATACGACTCGTCTGCTTATTGCTCTCGCTCGTTTGAAGTTGATATGGTTTTCAACGGTAGGTTGCCTTTGGTAGAGTCTAAATGCAACACTCTTGTTTCTGATGGCTACTTTTACATCCTGATTCCACCATGGAATGGGTCTCTTCACAGGCTTGTTTCCAGTCTTTGGTATGCTCTTCATCGCTGCAACCAATATAGTCTTCGTTATCGTTTTAACATTCACGTCGGTTGGTGCTACAAGATGTTCTTGAAACAGTGTCCAGTCAGCTCTACCAGTAATGAATCTACTAGCAACTGCTTTATCTTGCACGATGGTATCAGTTTCGACGATAATTGGAAAATGATCACTGTTATGTAGATCATTTATAGTTTTCCATGTCAACCGCGGAATTAGATTTGGCGAAGCCAACGTTAAATCAATAGCATCGAAGCTTCTAGATCGGGCATTGTGGTAAGTAAATGCCCCATTGTTAAGGAGAACTATGTTATTCTTGGTCAGCCAATCTTCTAGGATATGTCCTTTATTGTCGGTTCTCACTGATCCCCATAATGTACTGTGCGCATTGAAGTCACCCATAACAATATACGGTGTTGGCAGCTGACTGATGATATTGTCAATATCCACTATTACCCAGTTCGTATTAGGTAAGTAAACATTGCACAAAGTAATTTTAAATGGGACACTTACTTTGACAGCGACCACCTGGAGGTGTGTATTTAGAGCGACTCTTTCAAATTTCACTCCGTTTTTAACTATGATTGCTACTCCCCCTGATGCCCTCTCTGCGCCGATAAAATCTTTTCGCTCAACATCATATCCTCTCAGGGAATATGGTTGACCAAGTTTGAGATGGGTTTCTTGTATACAGAGACATATGGGGTTCCGTTCATGCAATAACATTTTCAGATCCGTATATCGCTTAACAATACCTCTACAATTCTACTGTATAATGCTGTTGTACGAGTTGAATATAATAGTTATTAGTTATTTTATATTTGCATGAATAAATAAAAGACAAATACAGACAAAAAAATAGATAAAATGTATTCAAAACTAATAAGTAGGTATATGTATCACAGACAATAATCACATAAGAATATCTCAGTTGAGTACTAAGTAGTCACAGGCTTCTCTGCAACCTCTTCAGTTGCCTTTGGTTTTCGGGGTTTGCCTGCCGGCCACCCTTTCTTTTTTTTTGTATCTTTTTTTCCTTCCTTAGCCTCTTTTACAGTTTCCTCATCCACCGAAGTCACGCTCGAGTCTCTAGACGACCGCGACCTAGTTATCGGTGTTTTACGCTTAGCCCCTCGTGTATCTGTTTCCATATTTTCAATCTCGGAAGATGTAGTAGGTTCGGAGAATTTATTATCTATTGTTAATAGGGATAACAACTTTATTTGTACATTTGTGACATGTCCATATACATTTTTGTAAATGTCTTATTAACTGGATAAATACATTATAATTAATAATTAACTTTATGCATAAACTGTCGGTAAGATATATGTTCGAGTGGTTTGATTACAGTGTATCCTTCAGATTAGTTTGTTATACGAGATATTCAGTTACCGTTGCCTTGCAAATTAGTTACGCTTTTATTTCACCAATTTGAACAGACGAAGCTCTTTGTAAGATTGTAAAAGGTCAGCCTTCGAGATGCAACGTCGAGAGTCACAATTATTCAAACATTACCTTAAAACGCATAAGATTTATTCCGATTCTAAACTTGGAACTCAAATTACACGAAATTTGAGGAACACGATACAAGCTGTAACGGGCTAGTTAAATTGAATCTCTACGCTACTGGTAGAAATCCCCATGTAATAAATTTTTTTATTTTTCCACGGTTAGCTCAGTAAAAAAAACGTTTTTAGACCCCTTACCTTGCGGAAGTTTGTCCTTTTATTTCCTTCTAAGGTCTGAAATTTAAAGACTAATGCTTTTGGTTCGATGGAACTTTACTTTACTTTAGTTGATTGAATATATTAATAAACACAAAGGTAATTGAGTTCCATGTTTCTTTACACTTTTCTGTATACAAAATAATGGTTTGATTCACAAACCGAACTGTAAAAGCTGCGATGCCCATTTCGTGATCACGTGCCCCTACTAAAATTGATTCTTTTCTAGATATTTTACTTTTACCACCCACCTAACAAAATGATGTATATGTATACATTCTCCTGTAGATGCAATTCCTTCTCAATGCTAAACAAAATTTCAATCTAACCAAAAGAATGTTAACACTGAAATTAAATGCAAATAACATTCCCAATCACTGAAACAAAATAACCAAAATCCTCCAGAATCATTTTTATACAAATGATTCTCATAGGTCGATTTCTTCAGGAATGTCAAGGTTACTTTAAAACAAATTCCTTAAAATACAACTTACGGTAACTAATGTGGATTCCTCTCTCTAACTGGAAACAAGCCGCGAACATTGTGCGCGATATTGGTATTCTGCACTGGAATAAAACGCTGTGCGCTGTGTTGATATTCAACTTTCCGACGAATTAATAAAGCTATATGGTGTGAGTAAATTCATCAATTAATTGTCGTCAAATTTCCTGCCGAATGCTGTTGTATACAAAACTGTTAGTTACTGTATAAAGTACTCGTATGAATAAATAATTTAACCATCTATGAATTTTGAATGTCGTTTTTTGGAAAATAGTTAGTGTAATTTCTAAATATATAAACTCCTTGTACAACGTTCTTACTTCTAGAATCTCTTAGTGTGTAACTACAAGTTTTGAAATTTTTCATTTAAGTAATAAATTCTTAAAAAGACTCCTACATTTTGAACTTTATGATCCAGCCATCAGAAGTTACTGAAATCGCAAGATTTTAACTTCAATACACCCCAGACATTCAAGTACTTATATTTAAATGTCTGTGTTGTACGACCAATTCTTGTTTCAGGTTTTCTAACGATTGAATTAAAAAATTTGAGAATCTAGTCCAAAGAAAATGACTAAAAAAACATAATTTTTCAATTGTTGAATGCTATTACTTCACTGGGATTGTTTCTAAGTCAATGTTTAATAGCGCATTTATACTGCAAAATGTCGCTTATTTTATTGCACACATTTGAAATACACGACCTCATTTCCTATACAGCTACTTAGAATATTCAGACACTTGAATATAATGTCAACAACATAATTCCTTAGTCGAGATTGTAAGCACTCGCACGAGTACATTACACTAATGAACTTAACGCATCTATTGTACTTGTACCAAATTCGCAAAGCACGCAAATTTCGACCTTAAGTACCAAAAATACAAACGTAGATAACTGACATAAATTAATCTTGGCGCTAATTCAAGTTACACAATGAAAACGTCGGGGGTTAAACTTAAGAGTTAAATTTCGAGACTATGAAATTGAAATTTGGGATATATCAAATGGAGGGTGCGACTTTTTCGGTACTAATTGTCGTTTATATCATTATAACGCGTGTTATTAATTAATCTAACAAGGCAAAAGGCGTAGAGGTAACGTCGACGCGTTAGAGATCTAATAAATTAGGGAAATGTAACCTGCCTTAACGAGGTGTTGTTCGTTAAATTTAATTAGTTTCAGAATTAGAGAAGGATGAATTAGGATCAGGAAGATTACGGGAGAGGTGATACGTTACATCGGTAGGTCACATTCAGATTTGCCGGATATCCTCGAATATTGCCTGTATCCAAAATTTACGATCCATGCTTTACACAAAACGAAGGGAGGGAGAATGTTGTTTGTTGTTTGTGGGGATGTGCTTAAATTTGCAGAAAACGGAAAACCGCTCTATTAGTCTGCAATAAACTCACGGAAAGTTGAAATAAGAAGGTAACGCGAACATGTACTTCAGTGGTTTTACACCCCCAGCCCAATGTACAATAATTTCTTCCCCAAATCATGGTCCATGTATGTAGGTACTAAATTTGAGCACATGTCAAACCGTTTTTGGGGTAGGTATCATGCGAACAACTCGACAGACGAACGCCCGGCCAGACGTTCAGACTTATACAATACATGTCATTTGATGCTCGAAATACTCGTTACTTCATAACTTCTGAAAGAATACAGTTGGAGTGTGATATAATTTTAATGGATTTCTAATTACCTGAAGTCCTGACCGTAAATTTACAGAAAAAACTGACACTTAGCACTATCACCATCAAATGCTGTGAATTAAATGTAATAGCAGATAATAAAGCGCTATTTATGGCTAATTTACTGCGATAGTTTGTAATATATTGCAACGCCCATTTTTCTTGAAACTTAACATAAAGCTGGAAGCTCCAAATAGGTAAAAGGTCTTTAACCTCGATTTAAATACAAGCGAAGATTGTAGAATTTCCGATAACTTATTAGCAACAATTTCTGCATTACTTCCAAGAGTAAAGTGCCTTATATATCGACTAAAATTTTAATTAATTTAATTGTTGCTTATTAAATTGCAATTGTGAGATTAATTACTCCATTTAGAACTTGTTGATTACGTGAGAGAGTCCAAGACTTGCATAAATGTATTGCCACTATGGTTTTAATCCTCAACCATTCACGTATCCAATTAACTTTTAGAGTGGTTTAACCATAGCTACAATAAATTTATTTAAATCACTCTACCCGAGGCCTACCATACTTATAGCCAAACATTTTTGTGTCCTTTGACCACATTTCATTCGATATATGTGATACAATTCTAGCAATAACAAAAAAGTTTCTCGCATGGTGAATTTTGCTCTGCGCGGATAATAAATGCGCGATTTTGTAGGGTCTGTTAAAACTACACTAATACCAGATAAGGCATTATATACGCATAATTGGAGAAGCATATCATTCTAGTTTAAGACACCGAAAGAATTATAAAGATATCGTTCCAATAAAACGAAATATGATGGTGTAAAGATAGAAAAATACGGATTTACTATCGTCGTTTCATCTCTAAGACTTTAAACCTTAAAATTAGTTATTTCCAGTGTTATTAAAAATTAACGAACACCATAATTTGATTGTATGTACTATTCACAAGCTCTCATTGAAATTTCGTGGCTCTATGTTGAACGAGTCCGGAGTAAAAAAATAAATAGTGGAGCCGCGCACGGATTTTCCATAAGCCGTAATGTATTTCATATGCCTACTAAGGTCACGTGACTTTTTCGAGCACTCCGGACTGTAAGTATCGTAGGCCTCGCTCTACCCCATGGAAGTAAAAGATAATAATAATAATAATTTTTTACCTCCATGCTCTACCCTTTGAAGTCGGAGGCAACTACAACGGTTTTTTTTAAATTTAATTAACAAGCTATAAATTATGTTGTGTAAACTACAAGGGGCGTCGTTTTTGTAGATTGAAACACTGGCGAAGATGAGAGCGACCCACCCCGTAGTTAAAAATTTACGTGTTGATAACGAAATTTTTTAGTTTACGCATGCAAATTTTCAATTTATTTGATAGAACCGGTGAGGAATTCTTTCAAATAGACTTTTCACTTTATGGTATTTGTTGTACTTAGTGAGTATCATAAATTTAAAAACGAATAAATACGGGAGTATTTAATAGTCATTTCGGCGTAAGGTAAAAGTTTTATCTGGTCTAAAAAGGCGTTATCGGGCAAATTAATTGGCCTTGTTTACTAACAACGCCACGTGCAAGATAACGAATGCGGGTGTTTGGAGTTCGGGCGATGGCGATGGCAATAGGTAGCGACGGCGGGGAACAACGATATAGAACTTGAATGAAGATGGTTTCACCTTTAAATGTAAAACAACGGAAAACATTCGATTGAAAAAAGCCGTTGTTGCACTAAATTTTACGGGCAATTTTCGCCAGATAAAAAAGTAAATAGTGCAAGAGCAATTGATTTTCGTGGTTAATGAATTGAGTTGGTGAACCGTTGTGCT